CACTTAAAATCATTAGTTTAAAAAGAAAGAAAAGAGGAAAAAAAGAAGAGATGCTATACTTTTTTCTTTTCTTTTTTTTTCTTTTTTAAAGGAGGGGAGGAGGGAGGACCCCAAGTCTCCCCGCTCTATCCCAGTACATTGTTCAGTTAATGCATGCTAGTTTTATGATTGGAATACATTGTAGTCCGGCCACCCAGACAGAGGCATTGACTGCTAATATTAACCAAGAACAATAGTGTGGCCATACTGACTGCAGTGAGGATTACAGAACATAATGGGGCCTATCCAAAAATAATGCTAATACAGGACAAGCAACAGGAAGCAGCAGTAGACTCAGCATTGCTCGGCTCCCAGACAAACCATGGACTTACTTCACACAATGGCAACTTCAGCACATTATGTATTCACAGGATACTCATTATTCCAGCAGGCTTGCCAGATCAGAGATCAGCCTGGTTTACTGGATGCTTAAGCGTATGCATAGTTTGGATAGCGGTAGTTTTGTGTCCTTCATCATTTGGCAGGAGGGTGGCAGAGAAGGTCTTGACTTCGGTTACTGCCTTGGCTCGTGCCAAGGCAGAATGGGGGGGAAAGTCTCTCCTGGAAGCTGCTAATATAGTTAAATTTGTTTTCGTGTCTTCTCATTTATGTGGCAATGAAGTGTTTACCGGCACTAACAGCAATGAAGGAACTACTCAAAATGAAGACTAAAGGAACAGCGTGCTCTGTTTTCATGTGGGCATATTCTGATGAGGCTCTTGGCTGGGCTGCCTGCTTGAGGTTCAGCCTAGCTCTTGGCCATGGACTCTGAGGCGTGAGATCGTTACAGCTTAGACTTTGTTTATATACATAGGGTTGAGAGAGTAACGGCTTTATAGGGTGTTGCCTTATCCTTGTGTAGCCCAAAGAAGAGATTCCTGATGATGTTGCATTCGACAAAGGGTTAAGAGGGTTAGGTTGTTTCCCTCCTTTTCCCAAATACGTCCATATCGCCTCCGGATAAGGAACCAGTTGTCTTCAACTCCTTTGAAGGAATATTCTGTTGTCAAAGTTGACTGGCTGACCATGGCATGATGTTGTGACGCATCTGTATAGCGTCATCGAGACCTGTCATGTGGCAACAGGGGTACCCAAGTGAGAGCCCTGCTGATGTTTAGAGGAAGTGGGTTTGTGACTAGCCTTAACTCTGCTCAGAGATGCCCTCCTCCCTGACCCGCGGGCACTTTGAAATATGCCTCGGTTTCCCTTTTGCCTATCTCACCCCTTTCCAGGTGAAGGGAGGAGGGATTGCTGGAGCTCCTGGCGATCTGCTGTGGCCTGCTGTGACAGCGTGCCAGTCTCCTAGCCTTCTTCCCTAGGACGCAGGCAGGGTGAGAGCACCGTTCTCAAATTTGTCTTCACAGCTGTGCGTGGCTGGCAGAGCGTGAGGAGAACATTGCTGGGCTTAACCTGCTCTCCTTGTTTGGCAGAGGAGGAGCAGGCACAGCATTCAGAATGCAAACTTCCCACTGCATTTGTCTAGTCATGGTTTCACATGCTCAGCAAAGCTCTTGCATGGTTTAACCACAAGGATAGGAGGGAAAGAAGTTTGACTAGTCGCAACCACTTTCAAAAAGGAGGCAGTCCTTTCACTAATCAGCCTGATGTTTTAATCTTGCTCTGTCCCACTGACTCACAGAATGCCTTTAGAAGCCAAAGTACAAAAACATCTCTTTTGGGTGGATGTCTGGATGAAAGGAGGGAAGAAGGTAATCAAGCCGAGAGCTTTAAACACCTGCTTACCTGGAGCTGCTAGTATTTCATTTAAATAACCAGAAAAGAGGTTGCATTGCCCTTTCAGACCCTTGAAAGGGACAGTTTCTGATGGATTTCAGGGTCTTCAAAGTTGTTCTTGAGTTGTATTATCAATGGACCAAGGCTAAATTGCGGTGTCTTGTCATTGAGGAAGATAGCCCTTGCACATTGGTGCTTTCTTTGTTTTTTGGGGTCTGAGCTTAACTGTTTCCATCCTCTCATAGCTTAACTCATAGGAGTTTTGCTTAAGTTTGTCCATGCTGCCTTTCAGTCCTCTGGGCTGATCAGACTGTCAGTGTTCTGCAAAGTGTGACGGCTTGCTGTTCCTTTTAGGCTGCCTTTCCTCTCAAGCCAGAATCCCTGCCTTCTGGTCAAGCTCAGGTTTACAGTGGCTAATTGGGTGTGACTCTGGAAAGTTCATTGCTGCCTTGTTGCCTAGGACATTGCTTTGATGGAATAAGGTGCATGATGTGGAATTCTTGTGTCTGGATATATATATTTATGCAAAGATGGGCAGAGGTCACCTATGGGCATGGGAAAACTTAAACCTCCACGCTGTAAGTAGTCATTCCTGAGATATCTGAATTGTTGATCTATAGAGTGGGGATGATATGCAGTTTTAAAAAATCTCAACAGTGCAGTCTTTGCACAGAACTGCTTTTTTTTTTTGGGGGGGGGATTGGCTAGAGGTATGCGATAGTTGGATTGTTGAGGGGGGCTTGCTACTGTTGTTGTGGGGCTGTGAGTGTCTGTGTGTCTTTTGTTTAGAAGTGTCCCATCTTGAACACAAAGTCTTGTCCTTTCTTTGCCCCGTGCTGAGAGGGACAGAGCCAGGAGATTAAACTGCCGTTCTTTCTATCATCCCTTTTCAGGACAGGGATTCTTCACTTAAAATATTCAGATGAGGTGAGAGGGGGCACATAGAAACAAGGGAATTGCTAGGGTAGGTCTACTCCCCTTGCATTTTGTTTCCATCCAGTTAAGCAGAAGCGTCTCCTCTCTTTAAACAAACTCCTGTGTGGTGTTGGAAAGTGGTCACACAAGTATCTAGCAACAGTAGCACTTAAAGCTAGGATTCAGCCTTTCCTTTCCTTAAGGGCTAGGTGTGTTGGTAAACAGTCCTGAGAACCAACCGGGAACTGTTGCTATGAGTTTAGACAAAATATCTTCCAAAACAATTATGCAAGGCCGAAAGGAAAACATCCTTAACTTTATTGGAAGTAGTGCTAGTTGCCATAATTCGTTCTCTACATCATAATATTTTTTTCAAGCTTGCAGTAACATGTTGTGCTTGTGCTTCTCCATGTTGGTAATTAAACCAGCGAGGAAGCACCCAAGATAGTGCAATCTGTATCTGTAATATGACTCGGGAGTTCTATTCTGGTTTTGTTTAGGTTTTGTTTTTTGGTTTGGTTTTTTTTTAACCTCTGACTTGTGTAAGGACTTCTTAAATCTGCTTTAAACAGTGTTAAATGATCATGTTGTGTTTTATTTTGTTTTCAGAGTTCCTTTCAAGTTGACAGACTTGGTCTAGAATTGTAACAAATAACATGTAACTTTCATGAAATATTAACCAAAAATGGTTTGGGCCAATGGAGCCTCTGCATAGAAGTTTGGGCGCATGTCTCGGCTTGCCCAGCTTTGCTTACTTTTGGAAGCATTTTCCCACAGTTATCAGTGAACGAAATGGAATCCTAGTCTGCTTTGAATATGAAACATATTTAGGCTATATTCCAAGCCGGTGTCCATCACAAACTAGGTTTTCATTCAGAGGCTGCATGCTGTGTCCAGTCGTGAGAAAGCAGTCTGCTTCAACTTTTTTTTTCCTTTTTTTTTTCTTTTTTGTTTTTCTCTCTTAAGGAATTCGGGGTCTGTCTTATGCTTGCACCTTGTAGCAGCTTACTCTCAGAACTGTATTTTGGTTTCTGTTACAGAAAAGGTGTTAAGCGCTGCAGACCACAAATGAGCAGACTGTGACTGAGGGTAGATACAATTGAGAAGAAATAAACCTTACGATACGCAGCTTCTATGGCAAAGCATCAAAACCCTTCATGGAGAGTTTTTATTTGCTCTATTATTGTTCTGCTCACCAGAAAGATATTACATATATTACCTCATTTATAGTTGTTATATTTTTTTTACTTTTCCAGTCACATTTTTTTCTTATTTTTCCTCAGCTTTTTTTTGGGGGGAGGGGGTGTGTGTTTTTGTTTTGAATCATTCTGTAAGTTTGGATATGGCTGGCTAAGTGGCAATTTTGAAAGATACAGCCTGGATAATAATACCTCAGAGTAGAGCTGGGGGAGAAGACGTTTTAATGGCTCTTGTTCTCAAGTTAGGATTGAAGATAAAGGTGGCTTAGATGTAATAGCTGGCATCTTTCCAACCCATGGAGTCACTTCAGTTAGTTTATGCTTATGATTATTATTACTGGAGTGCTAGAGAGCTCATTGGCAGATTAGAGCGTCTGTAAATGTGACACGGGGTGGATAGTGCGTCTTCCCTTTCCCTGCTCTTCCAAATAGTCTGATCTTAGCCTTTGTTTTACAATGCTTCTCTCTCACCCCACCCCCTTCCCATATGCATCAGTTCTTCCCTCAGTTACCTGATACTTGTGGGAGCTGTGATGGCCCTCATGCAGACAAAGCTTTCAAAGGGGGTGCTGAAAAGCAAAGTCCCTAGAGATTGGCTGTCAAGGCAGAGCACAGTAATCTTAGCAACACTTCTTGCTTTCAGGATGGTTGGGGGAAGGGACATCAAGACTACTTTCCTGTAACTAAAATTCTTTTGAAGCGGTTTTTGAGGGTGGGGGTTTGTTTTTGGGTTTTTGGTTTTTTGATGCTGCTGTGCCAGCCCGGTGTTTTCTGTCTTCCATGTGCAATTCTTCCACACATGCTTTATTGTGGCTACAGCGCAGTGTCAAAGGCTGTACTTCCTGGTTAAGTACATGAGATGCATTAATGATGACAAAGATGAGCTATCCAAGGTGAAAGGTCTTCTAAGTCAGACTGGATAAGGTAGCTTATGGGGTTTCAAGACGATCAAGTTTGTCTCAAGTATAATCTATTACCTATTTATGTTTTCAAGTGTTCCATTTTAGGGCAGAGACCAGGATTTTTCTTTTTAATTAAGATCGTGTATATATTTTTTTTTTTCTTACAGTCATATGTGTGCCTTTGAAACTAACACTTATTTCTCTTTTGCAGAGATCCTACACATTGCTTGTTGAGGCATGGGATTACAATGATAACTCTACTAGTAAGTATTCATTCCTCTGGTTTACTTAGTTGAGACACCTTGATTTCCTGTCCATTGAAAGGCCTTTGGTAGTCTAACCAGCCCACTGTGAGTAGGGCATGAGGAGAGGGAATAGCTCTCCTCCAGACAATTTGGAGCAACTGCTCTAGGCTCTGCAGCACTCTCTCACTCGTGTTGCCTTTAGAAGGCGAGTAGCTCGCTCACCTAGGCACCAACAGTTTGATGCCTAAAAATAGATGTTGTTAATTCCCTCTTTCTCCTTAGGGAGGATAAAAGCCAAGGGGTTTCTTCAGGGTTTTTTGTTTGGATTTTTTTTTTAGGAGTGATATGGAGAAGCCTAAATCGTGTTGACCTGGGACCTCTCTATAAACTATGTAATTCTCAAAACCGAACATGCTGCTTTTTAAAAAAAAACAAACAAAAAAACCCCCAAACAAAAAAACCCCTCTGTAAGACCTGGTACAGATATCTGTCTAATGACTGTAGGTGAGAAACAGGAGTGACTACCAGCTCTTCCTTGGGAGTTGAATGTCTAGGGATTTATATTCAGGGGCTGAAAAATATTTACCAGAAACCACCTGGTAGAGGTGGCTGGAAATCAAGGGTGGGAATCTTTTGCCTGGAATGTCTTTGGTTGGTTTCAGAAACTTTCTGCTGAGTTTTTCCTGTTGGCTAGAGGAAGCTGTATAGAGTCTCTGGGTATATGAGCTGTTCTGCTTATTGCCTACTGTTACTGAAGTAGGTGGGCAAAATTGGCTCTATTTTCAGTCTAGGGCTTTAGTAGTGCATGGTAAAAGCCACGGGAGAAAGTAAGAATCTGAACTCATAAACCTTTTGTTGACACAACAAGCCTTTTCCTTTAACAAGGGAGCAGCAGCGCTGTGGCCCATCTTGCACAAACAGCTTCGTGTAGTCCGCTTTGGAATGCCAGGTGACAGCCACGCAGTAATGAAATGGACTTCACAAAAGAAAGGCCTTGTAGAAACGTGCACAGTGCTGTGGTTTTATATTTTAATTGGTGAAGAGTATGCTGCTTGGGAATGGCCTTTGAGTCTGGGAACCTTTCTGCACAGATCTGCTTTTTAATATTTTTTTTTAATATACATGGGATGTCCTATTAGTTCTTAGCTCTAGAAAAGAAGTTGTCCGTTGCAAATGATTCATGTGACGTGTCGGTGATAGCCACGGTTTGCTTTACAACCAGCCACGTTCAACGCTGTTCCAGCACCTGTGACTTTAGGCCCTACCCCAGCACAGTCATGGAGCGGTGGCTGGGAGACTTCTTGGCTCTTGGCTATGGAGTGTTTTATGGAGGAGCAGAAAATAGATTGCTGCAGCAGCAGAGTTGTATTTAAAAATGGAAGATGCCTGAATTCAAAATGAAGGTCTTGTTTACAGTAGGATCTGAGAACTTTTTCACACTGGGTCTCTGCCACTTTTACTATTATTAGAGCTCATCTTTTTTCATGAAACAACTGCATTTCCAAAGCTACACAATGAACCCTTTCTTTGCTTTCATGTTCTGGAAGTACAATTGTCTTCAGACAAAATTGCCTCATTTCTCAGCAGTGCATTTGACCAAGTGCAGACATGTTCTTACATATGTTCATTCCTGCTCTAGCTTTGCTGTCACATATCCGTCTGTGGGTCGCTTCAGTCACTGTACTGCACAAAGCTTTTCCTTTGTACCGCATCGCTTTGCTTACAGTCAGCTTTCCCATAGCTGAAGATTAAGTCTTGAAGAACTAGTTAAGGAAATCATTAGAACTAAACAATTGTCGTCATATAAAGCGATGAGTATTTTTTTGGTGTCCAGGATTTTCTTTTACCTTAATTACCACTGAATTGTAAGAACTCTGTGAGAGCTCTCAAAAAAAAAAAAAAGTGGGTTTAGTAGGCTTTGTGTAACTTTTCAATAGCTCTAGCATCCTCTGATCAATGCAGTTGTTAGGAGATCCTAGCGTAGATGCTTCCTTCCCCCCTCTACATTCCACTCCTCCTACGTTCCCTTTACCACATACTCTCTCTTGTCTCATTTCCAAGAGTGGCTTGCAGTTGAATTCTGGCCCTGCTGAAGTTGGAGTGTCGCAGTTTAACCCCAGTCGGTAACTAAGTACCACACAGCTGCTTGCTCCCCCTCCCCTATGGGATGGGGGAGAGAATCGGGGGGGGGGGAGGTAAAACCCATGGATTGAGATAAAGACAGTTTAATAGGACAGAAAAGGAAGGGAAAATAATAATAAGAATGATAAAAGAATATAGAAAGCAAGTGATGCACAATGCAATTGCTCACCACCAGCCGACCGATGCCCAGCCAGTTCCTGAGCAGCGGTCGCCGCCCCCTGGCCAACTCCCCCCAGTTTACGTACTGAGCATGACGTCCCATGGTATGGAATGTCCCTTTGGCCAGTTGGGGTCAGCTGTCCTGGCCGTGCCCCCTCCCGGCTTCTTGTGCACCTCCAGCCTTCTCAGTCGGTAGAGCACGGGAAGCTGAAAAGTCCTTGACTAGAGTAAGCACTACTTAGCAACTACTAAAACATGAGTGTGTTATCAACATTGTTCTCATCCTAAATCCAAAACGCAGCACTGTACCAGCTACTAGGAAGATAATTAACTCTATCCCAGCTGAAACCGGGACAATGAGAATCATGCTTTGTTGGAGCCAAGATTCAGCTTAGATGGTTTTCTTACTCTGGTTCTTGTCTAGATGCCATCTTGCTACTGTTGCTTCATACATAAAGCTAATGGGGCTGACACTGCATCTCAAACTATGTCAAAGAGCTATTGTAAATTACTGGTATCGGTTGCATGTGAATTCCAGTCAGGCATAAGAGACTTCAGCACAATGTAAACCAAACCATAGCTGGAAGTTGTCTGAAACAAAGACTTTCAAAAATACATGTGGTGTCTTTAGCCAGCCAAACTGCTTAGAGGAGTCTGGGCTTTTTTTGTTGTTGTTGTTTGCTTCCTGAGGCTGCATAGTTACATTTTCCAGAAATTGGAGCACTGAAAAGCAAAGGCGGGCAGTCAAAATAGCTGATTTCTCTGTGCCTAAAACCTTTGATACAGTTGCCCGCTGAACAAAAAGACTAATAGCTTTGAAGTGTAGCCACAAAAAGTGAATGAAACCAACAAACTCTCTGACAGCGAAGTGCAGGGTGGAAGCTAAGTATGTACAGAAAGCCTCTCTCTTCCACTTCATCAATTTCTAATTGGTTAATGTTTCCTCTAACCTCTCTATCAAAGCATGGGATTCTGAGTCAGATGCTATCAGGGGAGTTAGGAAGATCGCTTTCTCTCAAGCCTGGCTGACTGCTTCTTTTTATTTACTTAACCAGTCTGCCGCTTCGCGATTGCTTACTATAAAACTTAAAGCATTGTTGGTGCGGGCTAAGAATGGAAGAGTTGTTGCAATGCCTTCCCTGAAGTCTGGGTCAGCACGCTTGTGTAAGTACGTACTGACAGGTGGGAATAGGGAAGGGTGGAGAAATTTTTGTACAAGAAGGAACATGCCAATACTTCATTGTGAAAACTGTGGGTGATGGCTAATGGAAAGGCATCTCAAGCCTGTGAGACCTTGCTTGAATTTAAATGTACGGTGGTAGCTTTACAACGTGTATCAAATGAAAGGCATTTTAGCCGTCATCCAAAGTGAAACCGCAGCTGGTTTTCATCTGGGCCCTTAAAAAAATAAAGTCCAGTGGACTAATAAGGATGTTTCCATTTGAGTTCAGCCTGTGGTTAAGGGCTCAAAAGAGCCGGTGGCTGGAGTGAGATGTCGTACAGCAAGGACATGCTTCCTAATGAGCTGGCAGATAGGGGAAGAATGATAGAGCAGAGGCAAGAGGAAAGATCTCTTTTCCAAGGCGATTGTTTTTCTGGTGCCAAGGACTGAAATAGCTGTGAGTGGTACGTTCCCAACGGGGAACAGGAAAAGGCTGGAAATGCAAGAGTGTGTGTGTAGGGGGGAGTGGTTTGCAAAACTAAATTGAGTGTCATTCCCCTTTTCTTCTGCCACTTACAGGAGAAAAGGATAGAGTTGTTTTACTTGCAAGAAACAGGATGTCTTTATGCACAGGCTCGGTATTTGGGGAAATGCATTTGCTTTCCAACTGTGCTGTAGATCGGGGTGTAATCTTGGCAAGTGCAGCAAAGCCATCTTCAGTACGCATGAGTGGAACTATAATCGCTTGACTAGCCCCATTCAAGGCGAATAGATATGCATCTGCTTAAGTACCTCTTAGAATTAGTCAGTAATCTTGTTGATGAGATCTAAGAGCCTTACACCTGCACAGTACAGGACGCGATATTGCTCTGGATATACCAGTATGGAAAAGTCCTTAGGCATCTACATTACTTGTGAATGGGATTTAAATTAATAAAGGCCTGCATGCCTTTGAAAGTCTTACACCTAGATGTGGGGTTGGGGGCTTAGTGCCAATGAATAATAAAAACTGATTTAAATGGAAAATATTATAGAACCAGAAATACCAGAAGGTGAATAAGAAGTTGTTGCCCTTAATTTCACACTGTAAACACTTAATGAATGCTGTAGTCTCAAGCCAAGAATAGCCCCCAAAACAGGTAAATGCTTACAATGTCTACGTATTGACACTCTTCTGTGGTTGTGCAGCAAGTGCTTTTTGACTTTATTCAAAACTGCAGACGAGCAGGCAGGATCTAGCGGTGAATTGATAATGGGTACCTGAGGCTTGAGAAGTCTGTTTGGAAGTTCTTTTTGAAAGCTACAAATCAAAGGTCCTTAGCAATACATTTAAAAGTATTTTAGACGAAAAACTGCCCACGTGTCGTCTTAAGCTTTATGTAGCAACTTCATTAGTCTTCAACTCTGCCTTATGTAAAATCCCCAAACTTTCTTTTGTAATTGTTGGAAGAACAAGCTGAACATAAGTATGTTTTAATTCTTAACACTCGAATGTGCCAGTACTTCACACGCTGCTTTCTAACACATCGTTGGCAAACTGCCCTTCTACCTAAAATTCTTCTGTCGCTGGATAAGCTCCCATATCCAGAACAGCGTAGCCTGGTACTTATTTTTGTTTTTGTACTGTGTCTGCAAGGATATTTTGGCTGTTTCATGAGAAACTTTCGCTCGGCAGTCAAGTGCTTGCTAGCAGCAGGTCGTAAGGCAGTGTCAGATCATTTAAGTCACAAGACCTGGACTACAAAGTGAAATACCACAGATATATACAATGTTCCGAGCTAATGTGAAATATTATTATTTCAAGCCATAATTTAGACAGTTGTAGGGCTCTAAAAGCCAGAAGACGTTTGCTGGAACTAAATGTCAAGTACAAAGTCTAAACTTCGAAATGCTCTTTAGAGAGAAGGGAGATCTATAGCACATACATGCAGTAATTTGAGTTCTCTGCTTCGAGCTCTGGTAGTCTTGAATTTTTAGTGTCGGCTAGTATCTGAAGAGAGAACTTCCACGGTATTTCTCAGCCAAAACCTGGTGAGATCACTGATGTTGTCTGAATGCCAGAGTTGCTAGTTTTCAATTTCGTGCTTACACCGGAGTCCTCTCTGCTTTGAGCTCTGGTAGTCTTGAATTTTTAGTGTTGGCTAGTTATCTTCCACGGTATTTCTCAGCCAAAACCTGGTGAGATCACTGATGTTGTCTGAATGCCAGAGTTGCTAGTTTTCAATTTCGTGTTTACACCGGAGTCCCAGAAGGCTGCAAACCTTTTGTGGTGCTTATGTTCAGTTTGTAGACGTTGCTTTATTAGGCTATTGTAGTATGTTGTTTTCGTAAATATTCCAGTTAAAAACAAAACTAGTACCATTAATGGAGAAGCGGGGAAAACCACATTATGTACCAATCTATTGGAGCTAGAAGTAAAAGCAGCTGAGTTTTCTTTAATCACGAACTGTATGATTCTTACTGGATGCCCTTACAGTGCAAAAGAGAGAAGTGGTTGGCAGTAACCTAACAGTCCCTTTTGATTTCAAGCTTTATTCAGTTTGATGATAATGCATGTGTGTTTCAGTTAATGGTTTGTAGCTCCAGGGCAGCCTTATCTTACTCTCTAAAGCAGAAAATTAATAAAACCAACTGGCTGCCTCAGAGAGTCTTGCCTGCGAAGCTAGAGAGCTGTGATGTGGGAGGTAACGATACCTAAGCGAAGTTTTAACTCTGACATCTCTTCTGACTTCTAGATCCCGATCGCATTATTGAGAAGGCATCCCACTCTGGCATGATCAATCCAAGCCGCCAGTGGCAGACTTTGAAACATAATGCAGGAGTTGCCCACTTTGAGTATCAAATCCGTGTGACTTGTGCAGAACATTACTATGGCTTTGGCTGCAACAAGTTTTGTCGACCAAGAGATGACTTCTTCACTCACCATACCTGTGACCAGAATGGCAACAAAACCTGCTTGGAAGGCTGGATGGGACCAGAATGCAACAAAGGTTTGTGACGAATGCTCGACCCCCAAATGATCAGCGGGCTTGGATAGGATTTGAGTGCATCGTACCCAGGTTGCAATTCAGTGGTCAGTTTGTGCGGACAACAGGGCTGAGGACTGATGGGACAGCGACTAACTCTTTACACAGAGAACTAGGGGCAGGAGAAGACTAGTTTCTGCCTTGTTTTAAAATCTTGGAGAGGTCTGACAAGTACTGGGCACTTAGCAGATGTGTTCTTTCTCTGATTATCCACATCTTTGCCCTTGGGAAGAAAACCCAGCCCATTGACTTCAATGGGAGTTCTGCTGCTGACTTCAAAAAGGATTTCCCCTTTGGTGCAGAACTTCAAGACAAGCAGGAAGGAGAGACTTGTTTTAGAGCTGACCTGGCAAGTGTGAAGCTTTGGTGTTTGAAAAGTCCCAGGCTGTTTGTTCTACCTGAGATGATGTTTAACATGTTTATTAGGGAATGGCAACTTCCTAGGTAATTTCAGAAGGAGAAAGCAGGACTCTGAATAGGAACAAACTATCAGCATGTCTTGCTGACTGAGTTTACCTGCAATTTGAATCGACGCTCATCTTAATATCCTGTCTGTTCAGAGATATGGCTCAAAAGTAAATCCAGAGTAGTTAAAAGTTGCTTTGAATTAGATGTAAAGCCAGGGAGAGTGGACCAGTTCACCTGCAAAAGACAGAGAAGGGAAACCTGTAGACTCAAAGTGACTTGAGCTCTCTAAGGCGAGACGGTTTCTCTTGCATAGAAAGAACTCTTTGCACAGCATTAGGTATGATTCCTCTGCGAAGCTAGCTGATAGATTTCCTATCACAGGGAGCCACCTACCTTGGTTTTCCTTCCAGTAGACTTGATACGAGAGACTTCTTAAAACCTTGGATTTAGTAGGATTACAGTGCTGGTTAGAGATTAAAACATTCCCACGAGGGTGAAGATGCAGGAAGCAGGCAGCATGCTGATACTCTTCTTTTTTGTTTTAACAGCTATTTGTCGTCAGGGATGTAGCCCCAAGCATGGTTCTTGCACAATTCCAGGAGAGTGCAGGTAAATGCTCCCTCTCCCTCCTTGTTTCCCCCCAAATAATTAAACAAGTGATGCTAAACACAATAGGATTGGGGAGGGAGGGTGTTTTTGGAGTCGTGTTTTTGACCAAGGCACATTATTCATGCTGACTTGCCCAGAATAAGGGGGGAGCAGGCTTTTAATGCACTGATAACTTTAAGAAGCTTCTGGTTTGTGAAATGGAGGCAGTGGAGGGGGGGGGGAGGGGAGGGGTGGGGGAGGGGGGGCCACGGGATAAATAGGCTGAATACTGCCTAATGAACACTAACTAATTGTTTCTGCATAAATAGTGCAAATGTTTTGTAGGTATGTTTTTGTGTTGTGTGGTTTTTTTTTTTTTTTAACAGCCTGATTAATAGGCTTTTTCAACTACAAGCTTGAAGTACAGTGTGGCTTTTCTCTCCTCTTCTCCCTTTCACTGTTTCCCCCTTCCTCCCTCCCACCCCCTGGTTTCTTCCATCAGTAGGCAAAAGTCAAGCATTCTTTAGAATGGGATTAGTTAAATCTCTCGGTTCCTTTACCATTGTGAGCCAGGCTCCAAGTGCTGAGAGGTTAATAGCTGGGATGAAATCTTGTCAGTAGGGTCCGATGAATGCAGACTTTTCCTCCCGTGCTTTGAAGTCTGTTCTGTCCTGGCAAGGAGACAATGAAAAGCAGAGTTTATCCATAACCCAACAATTAAATATTTGGATTGTCTGAAAATATACAGCATGTATTTACAGCACAGGGAAGTTTTCTCCCTTACTAATAGAGGGTTAATGGGTATTAAATGTGGACGTTCTTTATCAACAAACTTGTCTAAGTTGCTTCATGTAACCCCTCTATCGTATCTGTTTACATGCCATAGGGAACTGAGGGCTTCTGAGGTTACAAAATATTGATATTGATCCTGTGTAGGAAGGGTTAAAAGTGAAGCTTGGGTATTCACGAATAGAACTCGGAAGTCTGAAGGAACAGAAGGTGATTTTTCTGCCTAACATACACTTTGGTGGATTCTCTGTTGCTGGAAACTTTTGCATGATGTGGACTGCTTTTCTTTCTAGATAAGATGTAGTTCAAACAAGAACTAAATCTGGGATGTCTGACAGACTGTTTTATATAAGAAGTCAGCCTAAATAGTCGCAGTGGTTCATTCTTTCTCTCTATCCCTGTAATCTATGCTCCAAAAACAAAACAAAGAAATCATCAAGGAACATTCTGAAAGTAAGGTAGGAAGTAACTTCTCGTCCTCCACAAGAGACATGGCAAAGTGAAAGTCAGGCCGCAGGATGGACTGTTCTAGGTTGTTCAGTGATTTTAACATTTAGCAGCACTGATATAAGCTGGTTAACCCCCAGAACACCAGATCTAAATCTTTTTTTAATTAAAAAAAGAAAAAAGCCTAGCAAGTAGTAGGAAGTATCGGGGGGGGCCAGATGGCGAGAGGAGTGTATCAGTCAAGGCTACCAGTGATTTGTGCTTCTGTCATCAGAATAAACATGCCTTGTAGGGGTTGCTGTCTCCTAGTCAGAACAACAGGCTTTGTTTCCAGATTTTTTTTCTTTCCTTTCTCTTTCTAAGTCTCTTACCTCCCACTCGCTGCCCAGACACGCACTAGTGCTCTTATTTACTTAAGGTGCAACTTTCCCACACTTGATTTGCATAGTCTTGAAACAATGCTGTCCTTCTGGTGCCTTCAGATAACTTCTGCTTGCCAAGTTAGACCAATATCTTTAAAGTGAACACAGAAACAAGATTCTATTTTCTTTTAAGTTTTGATGAGTCATATAGCCTGTATGTTACAAATGCAACAGAGTTTAAAAATAACATCCCAGCAGAAACTGCTCTGGGTTCTGGTACAATAGACAACTTGCAAACATTCTTAAAATATTCTTTTCCCTTTTGGTGCGAGTCGCTTTCTTTAATGCAGGCCAGCCAACAAAACCATATTTACTCATGCATCACTATACAAGGAAAGTTAACTTTAAATTTCTCATGAGAAACTGCTGCATACATATTATTAAACAAGAATTATTACCATGAATCTTTTTCTGGAATTGTTTTTTTTTTTCCAATGCCCGTAGCCTTATCCAATTTTGTTTGTTACGCCTTGAAGCTGATGTTTGAAGAAAGTTGTATCTTTGGCTCTAAAGCTCGTGGCTTTTTTTTCTGTGGGTTGTTTTTTTTTAATTACTTGTTTCTCTTTACACGTGCTTTAAAGAAAACAAAACCCCCGCCCCTTTGATTTGGCAGAAAGGAGTAAAATTCTCGATTTGGGTACCTGTTTTTGCAGGTGAGGTCCCTTAGTTTTGCTTGCGTGCAAGCTCACAGGCAAGTTGCTTTGAATGCAATACAAATTAAAAGGCTATGTTCCTAAATTTTGATCTTTGTGCATTCTTATTATATTCCCTATACAGAAGGATTTTCCAAGAGCTACTTGAGAGAGGTTGTTTTGCCTGATCTGGTTTTCTTTCATGTTCTTTGCACACAAAGACACAGAAGTTGGACTTAGCTTTTTTTTTTAGCACACAAACTAATAAGAATTTCCCATTGACTTTGAATGGGCTGCTATTGAAATAGCTATTAAAAAAAGAGGTTAATTAGGATGCAGTTTGTCACCTGAGATTTTTTAGAAGGGAAGTCAGACTTACCACTAGCTGTGTGTGATTACCCAATGGATAGATCCCTCTAGCTTTTTCCCATGAGAAGAAATTGCCAGTAGAAGAATGGTGGGGGGTTTTATAAATAGAAAGCTTAGCTGACTTCTGTACAGATGAGGTTTGTTTTCATAATTTAGTGACTGCTTAGTGGGTAATTGCTGCTTATCAATTACTCTTAGGACCTGCTAATGAAATACAGTACCTCAACAAACCCTCGCTTTTCATTTTCAACTTGTTTTCCTTGTTTCTATCTATAATCAACTTTAATTTGAAGAATCCTTGGTCTGTCTCGCTAGTGAGAACTAAATGAAAGCCAAAATGAGCTTTCCCTTAAGGGGGCTTTACTCTAAAAGAACATCTTCCTTTTAAATACAGAATTCAGGTAGCTCATTGATAGTGGCAATAAATAGTTTAAATAATAATAAATTCTTCTCCAGACATGAAATTAAAGTTTCTCAGACTTTGATATGTTTTAATTATTCCCTGAAAAGAGGTTAGCGTAAATCAAACTCTGAAATACACTGACAGCTGATCTTCTTTGAATACACGTAAAATCCTGATGGATGCTGTTTTCTGCAGTCTCTCACTGTGGCCCAGTCCGTGCTTTCTGTGTATGTCTTCTAGTTCAGAAGAAGGTTAACTTCCGATAGAGCGGAGAGCTAATGCTTTGCTACTGCCTTGCCGAGGGCTCAGAGCTGGTGTTTATGGTTTTGTTTGTCTTCCTGCAAACCCAGCGCAGCACGGCTGAAATGCCTGGAACCTTGTATTCATGAGGATCTCTGGATAACTATTGTTTCCACTGACTTTTTCTCCCCCCCCCCCTCAATTTATAAAGCACCCTGTCAAAGTCCAGAGATTGATTTGTAGTGCACACCCACCCTCTCTGCCACATTTGTATGAGGCTCCAAAAGAGTATTATTGTGCTGAATGGCCTCATGCTGGTTCTCTCAGAACAGTTATTCTTTTGTCAGGAGGCTGGCTACAGAGACCTTGGCAAAACTACTAAAATGTTTGTTTACAAGAAACCATTAAACAAACCGTGAATAGCTTCGCCCCTCGTCCGGCCCTCCTCCCCCACCTCCCCAGTCTTTCTCCAAGCTTTGGAGTTCTACACTCACATCTACAGTGTGATTCTAATGGGTTTTTGGTTTGTTTCCCTGTTCTGATTTTTTTTCTTTTTTTTTTTTTTTTTTAAACGAAGGTGTCAGTATGGATGGCAAGGCCAGTACTGTGATAAGTGCATTCCACACCCAGGATGTGTCCATGGCACTTGCATTGAACCATGGCAGTGCCTCTGTGAAACCAACTGGGGTGGTCAGCTCTGTGACAAAGGTATGCTAATCTTATGGATAGCCGAGTGTAACACTTGAATTTTAACACTGGCAGACTTAGCAAGGAGAGAGTGCACGCGAGACTGAGCGAGCCTCCTGAAACATGGTGGGAGTTTTTTGTCCTTCAGCTACTTAGCGTTGTGTCCTCTGCTGTTCTGGCATTGTTAGCCTACGTGCTTAACTTTTCCCTGTCCTGTCCTACTCTTGTGCGCAGCCGTATTCTGTGAAGGCTCTAGAATAACGGAACAAAGCACGCACGTGGTGATGTTTCTGTTCTTTTTCAACCATGGCTTTAATGCTCCTCACCTCTTGCAGATCTGAACTACTGCGGAACCCACCCACCCTGTTTGAACGGTGGTACCTGCAGCAACACTGGCCCTGATAAATACCAATGTTCCTGCCCTGAGGGCTACTCAGGACAGAACTGTGAAATTGGTAAGCGTTTGATGCAGCTGCTGAGCTGCCACTTGGCAGTTAATTCTTGCCAGCTTTTAGTGGCTGGTTTTGGATATATTTTATGAGGTTGGGGAAGAGTCAATTTCTAATATTAATTATGATGTCAGGGCTAGCTACAAAGATCCAGACTTGCCTGTTCGTGCTTCATCGTGAACAGTTGGTATCTCTGAACATCAGCCTTCTGCTTGCCGGAGAGATCACCACAAGTTACCTTGTCTGGCTCTGACTCAAACAGGCGCGAGTCAGTGTGTTGATGAGTTTAGCAGGGAAGATGACTTCCCGCTGGCTAGTAGCGTTTTGATTCACAGCTCTCACAGGAGTGCAGTACGTCAAGAGTAATGATGGTGTGTCCAGAGTAGAAATGCGTGGAGGGAGCAGGGGGTGGCTTCTGGTGATATTGCTAGTCTCTACCGTAACGTACTTCTGTCCCGGTGCAGCGGAGCACGCCTGCCTCTCTGATCCTTGCCACAATGGGGGAAGCTGCTTAGAGACGTCTATGGGATTTGAATGTGTGTGTGCACCTGGCTGGGCTGGACCAACTTGCACTGATAGTAAGTCCTTTCAAAACTGAATTAAAAATGTGCTAGTTTGCTGTTTTAGATCAGTCTTTCTAATCCCTGATAAACTTACAGGGCAGCCTCCTTAACCTTTCCCAGCTTTAGCAACGGTTCTTGGCAGCCATTTATACCACCGTGCACTCTCTTCTCCTTTGCTTGTACCAAGGTTTTTGTTAAACGCCAGGGGAAAGAATGGCCAATGGCTTCTTTCAAGAAGCAGAACACTGAATTTTTGTAGCGTTCTGGCAAGTTGTTTAAAATACTGTTTCGAGAGACTTGCCGGATCAAAATCTGACTTCCACTTGCAAAAAGGCCACAGGTGTAAACTTCTTGCCCAGTGCTATGACTCCCCTTTCACACTACTGTTATTTTTAAAGGAGGCTTTTGCTGAAATCAGAGTAGACCTAGAAATCCCAAGTAGAAGTCCTGTTGCCTTTCTGTTCCTCAGGGCAAATCCTAGTAGCAGCAACCATGTATCAAACTTGTCAGTTACTGACATTGCCTGTCCGGTAACAGAGCTAAGCCTCTCCTTACTCCGCGTTGCAGATATTGACGATTGTTCTCCAAATCCCTGCGGTCATGGAGGAACTTGCCAAGATCTAGTTGATGGATTTAAGTGTATTTGCCCACCTCAGTGGACTGGCAAAACGTGTCAGCTAGGTGAGAACTGCTTTTCTCTTCATTCAGTGCTGCTCTGGGGTGGGGGGGGGGGGGGAAGAAATGCAGAAGGGATCGTAGTCCAGCAGGCAAGGGCAATGGTGCCCTTTGCGTTGGGCACATTTATGGTTCCGAAGCCTATGGACATATTCTGGCGCATTGAGAACGTTAAGTGTCGGTGTTTGCAGGACTGGGGTCTAGGACGGTCTCAAAGCATAGAGCGGCTGCCTTCTCTCATCGTTTTGCTGATGCATGCTAGCAGTTGAAGGAAATAATTAACTAAGCCAGAGAGACATACTTTAAACCGTAAATGAACTGAAGTGGGGAGGGTGCATGTGTATGCCTTCCAGTCCCGCCCCCACATGTATTTCTTCCTTTAGCCTGTGAGAAAGTTGCTGTATCTCTTCAGCCATGTCAACTCCTCCAGACCAAGTTGTTCACAGCTGGGTTCCAAAATGTGGATGATCTCACGAAGAATGAGCTGTCTGCATTCTTTACACAACACGCTAATCCCAATGACCAGGCTGCAGCACTCCTCCTTCAAAATGCTCAGTTGAGATGGGGGGGGGGGAAGTTGCTCTTAATGAGTGGCTGGGTAATTACAAAATAATTAGCGTAGCCTGTATGTTCTAATTGCAGAGAAATTGGAAGACACTTCAGAGACTGATGTATGATTGACTTTTGTTCGTTCGAGTCACGCTAATCCATGCTGTATATTACAAGTTCCTTTTAGATCTGAATGAACTGCTGATTGTTGCTGTGAAAACTGGCTGTAGGCTTTTTTTTTTTCCTTCTCCCCCCTGCCCTGCGTTTGGCCATTCACGTTGTTGGGGTTTGTTTTTTTTTTCAGATGCGAATGAATGTGAGGGCAAACCTTGTGTCAATGCCAACTCCTGCAGGAACCTGATTGGCAGCTACTATTGTGACTGCATTACTGGCTGGTCTGGCCACAACTGTGATATAAGTAAGTGTCTTATATCCTTGGGTTTATTAAACACCAGTTTTGTGTGTGTGTGTGTATGCCACTGAGTTCCACGCTCAGATTTAAACATCAGGCAGAGTCCCAGCGGTTGATGTTTTTAGAAAGGGAGTAGTTGGTGCAGAATGAAAATACACAATTTTATCAAACTTATTAGTCCATAACATAGCTATATTCTGATAAAGTGACCAAAACAATGATGTGAAGTTTCACTGCCTCTAGTAGAAGAATCGCGAAAGGTTCCCACCCATTAGAATAACCTTATCTCAAGGAAGGCATGCAGGAAACTTGACAAAAGGTTTATCTAGCTGCAGTTTTAGAGAGACTTGAACTCTGTATCTAGTGTAAATATATTTTTGCCTTCTAACCACGCTAATTTTATTACAGATATTAACGACTGTCGTGGACAATGTCAGAATGGAGGATCCTGTCGGGTGAGCCAATCTTGTTTTATTTTGGTTTCCCTGAGACTTGCAACAGTAACTAAAACATTTGAGTCAGAACACAAATAGTGTGGAAAATAGCGATTAGCTGGTATAAATTGTCATTTCTTTGGGTTGGGGGGAGGGCCTCTGTCACGCTGCAGCATGTCGAGGTATGTCTGTAGAATGGCAAGGGCGAAAAATATAACTGCAATAAATGACTCGCTTTCACTGCCAGTGTCAGCAGTGAACGGGGCCGGTCGTTGTGCAAACTACCTGCTGTAAATGTAGATACTCCACTTCAAAATGTGGATTAATGTATCCTGCCTGGAAATTAAGGACGTAAGCCAGTACCGGGGTATCTGTGTGTGCGTTTATTTTTTCCCCCTCAATATTCTTGCCTTGCTTGGACATAGTAAGAGGATGTATTTTTTTTTGGACTGTTGCTTTTTTTTTTCTTCTTTAATAAGAAAGGAGGAAAAAACCTTAACTCTAAACTTTCTTGTTCCTTCCCAGGACTTGGTTAATGGTTATCGGTGTATCTGTTCACCTGGCTATGCAGGAGATCACTGTGAGAAAGACATCAATGAATGTGCAAGTAACCCTTGCATGAATGGGGGTCATTGCCAGGATGAAATCAATGGATTCCAATGTCTGTGTCCCGCTGGTTTCTCAGGAAACCTCTGTCAGGTAAGAAGCATGGGTGAAAGGCAGGCCCTCAGCCAGTGGCGTTTCTACCGGCGCTCTGGATCTGTACACGGAATGCCTTGCATCCAGTGAACCATAGTATAAAGTTGTACTTGATATCGCTGTCAGTCTGCCAAGAAAGTGCTTGATTAATATATATTGGGGGGGGGGGACGACGGGTAAAGAAACCAACAAAACCCCTGACGGGCTGCTGAGGATTCTTTTTGCTAAACAGACCACAAGTGTTAGCGTGTCAGGTTTTGTTGCGCACTAACTATTAACTTTCGGTGGCTGTTTAATATCAAGAGTGCTGTCTGCTGAAATAGTTGCAAGTCGAACTAAACTCTGTGCATTATGAACAACTCATTGAGGCAGCAGATAAAAAGGTCAGATTCCACAATGTCTGCCTGTCGTAGTGAGGGAAAGCTATGATAAAACTTCTGTTTCACTCAGCCTCCCCACCCCCCCCTTTTTTTTTTTTTCCCTCCTTTTTCTTTCCCTTCCTCTCTCTGCACTATTTACAGCTGGACATAGATTATTGCGAGCCAAATCCTTGCCAGAATGGTGCCCAGTGCTTCAATCTTGCTATGGACTATTTCTGTAACTGCCCTGAAGATTACGAAGGGAAGAACTGCTCCCACCTGAAAGATCACTGCCGCACAACTCCTTGTGAAGGTTTGTGTTACCTTGCAGGTGAATGGGAATGACTGACAATAGTTTCTGCCCCTCCTCTGGCTGAAGCCATAATGCAGCTCCAATAGTGTAGTCGGTGGAGGAGCCTTTGTACAAAGAGGCTGAGTTTTTTGCCCTGTGCCGTATCGCCTCTATTTGTGTGAGAAGATGAGTACTATTTGTAAATATCAGCTGTTAGAAAGGCAGAGTTATGTCAATGTGGACAGAAAACACATGTAGCAAATAGCCTGCTTTGCTGAATTTATTCCAGGCCGTGGACGCGGTCCAGCAATCTTCAGATAAGATGCTGTGATTATTTTATGCACAAACACTTGGTGTAGTCCTTTTATTTTAAAGCAGCAAGCGTATTTGGCACTGGTAGGTTTACAGTTGGACTCGATGATCTTAAAGGTCTTTTCCAACCTAAATGGTTCTATGATACGTATGTCTTTTAAACGTCCATCGCTGGGAATTAAAATGTCGCTCTTAGCTTAAGAAATCAGATAGAATGGGTAATCCTCATGCAGGTCTCTGCTTTTTCTACAGTGATTGACAGCTGTACCGTGGCAGTAGCTTCTAACAGCACGCCGGAAGGCGTTCGTTACATTTCTTCAAATGTCTGCGGTCCTCACGGAAAATGCAAGAGCCAAGCGGGTGGAAAATTCACCTGTGAATGCAACAAAGGATTCACTGGCACCTACTGTCACGAGAGTAAGAGCTAAAAAGATAGTATGTTTTACCGTCCCCTACTCTTCTTGGAAAAAGATTCCATCCTTTCCTCCCAGCCTGCTTTAAGGTTTCTTTCTTGTAACACAGTGAACCTTGGAACTGCTTTAAGTTTTCATATCCCGCTTGGGCGAGGCAGATTGGAATTTGCTAGGCCTTGGGGAAAGTTCACAGTAATGAACCTTCTGGCCTTGAATTGTATGTTTTTAAAAACCTTATGTATACAAGGTCTGAGGTAGCTAATAGCGGGGTTTAACACGGCTCTTAAGGGCTCCGGACTTTTTTTGGTTTTAATAGTAATTGTTGAGTGACAGGCTCATCACTCTGTGCACTGTTTTTCAGCTATTTCTCATCTGGCTTATAACCCTTCCTCTCAAAAGGGGCTTAGAAATGGAAGTAGCACCAAACAGTCTGCAATAAGATGATGACTTCTAGTAGCTGTACTTCTAGTTTGATTTTTTTTTTCCCCTTTTTTTTTCCCCCTGCCCTCTCCTCCAAACTGTTGCAGATATTAATGACTGCGAGAGCAACCCCTGTAAAAATGGTGGCACTTGTATCGATGGCATCAACTCCTACAAATGTATTTGTAGCGACGGATGGGAAGGAACATATTGTGAAACAAGTAAGTTAACCATTCTTCAGCATGCAGAAAGATCTCTTGGAAAACCACCAGGAAGGAATGGCTGGTACCGTCTATAAGGCGATAGTGACCAATGCCAATTCAACACAAACTCTGCTTCAAAGGCCGCAGAGGACAAGGCGCCCTCTCTTTTTCCACCGAGTCCCAGGCTTTTGTATCGGAACTAAACCCAAGTTACGAAGCTGGACTGGGAGTAGAACCTGGCTCTCCTACTGTTCAATTTTCTGCTCTGCCCTTTGGGTGACTTTCTGTAAGAAACCCTCAGCGTCGGTACACAGCGTTTTAGGAATGGCACATCTGCTATCGCCCTTGTATTTTGTCGGTCTCGGGAGCAGACGGGGAGTGAGCACTTGGCTCCCATCCTCTGACCGATAGGGTAGTTTACGCAATAGGCCTTTTCACTTCTTGTTTACTGAAACAAGATGACAAACAAAATGAAAGCAAACTGGAGGAATGTGGCGGAATATTCCTTGTCTCTGTGACGGCGCGTAAAGCTTTAAACTACTGTCTTAAGTGTCTAATCCACGATTGAAACACAGGCCGAAATTAGGGATGGGACGTGCACCTTTCAAGCATTAAGTGTTTGTCAATTCCGTAAACGTCGCTTAGCTTGTTTTCTCTCCTTAACGTATCTAGATATTAACGACTGCAGTAAAAACCCTTGCCACAATGGAGGAACTTGCCGAGACTTGGTCAACGACTTCTTCTGTGAATGTAAAAATGGGTGGAAAGGAAAAACGTGCCACTCCCGTAAGTTCGGCATTTCCAAAACATAGCAGGCGGGCTCTCTTAGGCTGCTTAAGCCTGTTGCATTGCTTTCAGAAAGCACTGGTATTAAGGATAGTTTGGGTTCTTCGCAGGTGACAGCCAGTGCGATGAGGCAACGTGCAACAACGGAGGAACGTGTTACGACGAGGGGGACACTTTCAAGTGCATGTGTCCCGCAGGATGGGAAGGAGCCACTTGTAATATAGGTAAATACCCTGCATAACCACAGGGAAGCAGATGCAGCGCTGAATCTGTGACCTCAGTTTTTCCCCTTGGCTCAGTTTTGACGGCTTTCGAACAACTCGGCGGCAAATCTCGTTTCTGTTACAGCAAGGAACAGCAGCTGCCTGCCAAACCCCTGTCATAACGGTGGTACCTGCGTAGTCAGCGGGGATTCTTTCACTTGCGTCTGCAAGGAGGGCTGGGAAGGACCCACGTGCACTCAGAGTAAGTTGTCTCTGCTTGAACTTTTCCAGAGCGTTGCATGATGAGAACGTTAGCTCATCCTGTCGCCCTTGGAGTCAAGATTGAAACCAGAAGGGAAAGCTTGTTTGATGTAGGCTTTAGCATCACCTGAATCTTTGTTTTTAATGACTTTATGTGATAGAGCCTTGACCTGGGCATGAGAAAGTTGCAAATGAGCTAAGTGGAGACAGATGTTGTCTTGTTTTCTCCCGCATTCTTTTTCTACGAGCAGCTCTGTCTGCTTCCACTCCCCACTCCCCCCGTTAGATTCTTTACAACGATCTCTTCCTGTGTACATGTGTTCCACAACGTACTTAACAAATTTTGTGGTAGAAGCCTGGAATCAATTTAGTAGAGAATTTCAGCATATTTTTGTTAAAGTTGAGCTAAGTGTAACTTGGGCATTAGGGGAAGTTTGATCATTCTTTACTGACAGTGGAGTTGTGTTAGCCAAAGTCTGCATATTTAATGTTGTCTGTCTTTGCTTTGCAGACACAAACGACTGCAGTCCTCATCCTTGGTAAGTTTAATATGTTTGTCTGTCACCCTTTGCTTTTTTTTTTGTTGCTTTAGAATTCTAGAATCTTTATCTGTAGCGGTTTTTTAACGCGTACGATGACTTCTCTTTATAGTTACAATAGTGGCACTTGCGTGGATGGAGACAACTGGTACCGCTGCGAATGTGCTCCGGGCTTCGCAGGTCCTGACTGCAGGATCAGTAAGTCTTTCAATGGCACTCTACCTTGATATTTTTGTCTTGCTTGAATCTTGTTGCGAGACAACCATCTTAATTGAGTTAAGTGGTAGATCAGATTAATGATAGATGTCCCGTGTCTTCTGTGTCCGTACCCAGATCTGAAGCAGGTGTGGGGAGGGCAGGAATGGCACTGAAAAGGAAAGAAAGCTTAAAGTCCGTTCAGCTGGAGCTGGAACCTCTTGGTTCAGCTGAGTGGGCAAAATGCCCTTCGGGAGAGTCTTCCCAGTTAGCATGTGTTTGTGTGGCATAGGCTTCTGCCCGAGACAAAAGCGTGCCAGCCAAAAACCTTGTCAATTAATAATCCACCTACAAGCCCGGAGGTGATGTATGCACTTCCCTGTAATTTAATAATAATTACAGGTAGGAGGACACTAACACTCTTTTTTTTTTTTTTTTTTTTTTAATAACAGCCATGGAAGTAGAAGTTTCATAGTAGCAGTGCGACTGGGAAGGGGCTTAACGTTGTCATCAGTTGAAGAATCTAGTAGGGGGACAAAACTGGAGTATGTCAAAGGGAGAGGAAGTGTGTTTGTGTGAGAAGGAATGTGTCCTTGCCCTTGAAAAGCTTAAGTAGCCATAGGGGTCAGGTTTTGATCTTTGTTAGCGCCACACAGCAGAAACTTCAAAGAACTTGCTCTGAGACTCTACCAGTGCTGCTAGTAAGACTCTATCTCCGAGCAGACGCTAGAAAGTGAACGTAAAGCTCCAGTAGGCAAATCTCCCGTGTGGTTTTTCTGACAAAATAGAAGGATACTACAGAGTAACTTGTTTATTTCCTCTTTCCCACCCTAGATATCAACGAATGCCAGTCTTCACCCTGTGCCTTTGGAGCTACGTGTGTAGATGAAATTAACGGGTACCGTTGCATTTGCCCACCGGGTCGTAGTGGTCCAGGATGCCAAGAAGGTATTCCAGGTGTCATAGCTGGTCATAAGACTTGTAGCAGGATCTGTATAATTGCATGTTGAGAGGTTTGTAGCTGTATGGGTGTTTTGGGGGGGGTGGTGGTGGTGGTTGTTTTAAAGCGAGTATCTTTCTTTATTGAAGAAGCCAACTTAGCGCTAAGTTTAGATGAACTTAGGGGAAAAAAGCACGAAAAAGCCCCTTTCCTATTTTAAGTTTACAATTCCGTTCAATCTCTCTTCAGTTACAGGAAGGCCTTGCGTTACCAGTGTTCGAGTAATGCCAGATGGGGCTAAGTGGGATGATGACTGTAATACCTGTCAGTGTTTGAACGGAAAAGTCACCTGTTCTAAGGTACAGCTGTGCTGTGTTGTGGGTTATACCGTCTTCTGTCCTGTAACCCGTGGTTACTCATCGGTGTTTATTCTCTCCTAGGTTTGGTGTGGTCCTCGACCTTGTGTCATACATGCCAAAGGTCATAACGAGTGCCCGGCTGGACACGCCTGTGTTCCTGTTAAAGAAGACCGCTGTTTCACTCACCCCTGCGCTGCAGTGGGTGAATGTTGGCCTTCGAATCAACAGCCCGTGAAGACCAAATGCAATTCTGATTCTTACTACCAAGACAACTGTGCCAACATCACCTTCACCTTTAATAAAGAAATGATGGCACCAGTAAGTAGCAGAACATCGCTCGCTGTGCTGCGGCACGCGCACGCTTGCTTCCCAGAGCGCAAAACAACTTTTTTGACGGGTAAAAGTACGGGAAAAGCTGAACGCTCCCTTGTTACCAAAGAAACGGAAGGTATAGAAGGATTAATACAGACTCCTACCCCAAATGCTTTTGTGTCCAGAGAAGAACAAAAGCTGATTTGGAGGGAATTCCACCTCCTTGTCCCTTGAGAACTCTCATTTCGGGGTGGGGGGAGAATTTCTTGTATCTGTGTGTTCGTGTGCATGTATACTTAAAAACCCAAGCAAACAGCACCTTTTTTGTGTCCTCCAGGGACTTACCACAGAGCACATTTGCAGTGAATTGAGGAATCTGAATATTCTGAAGAATGTTTCTGTTGAATATTCCATCTACGTTACCTGTGAGCCTTCACACTTGGCAAATAATGAAATACATGTTGCTATTGTAAGTATTCCTGGGATATTTTTAAATGTCGTAGCGGTTAATTGCTTGGATATGTGTGCAACATGTGGATTTCATGAAAATCGTAATTCCTGGCTTTGTCAGCGCTTCTCGTTGTTTAGTTTCCATCCCGATTCCCTTTACGAACAGGGAAGAAATCCTGGTTACGTGAGCGTACCTGGAAGCTACCATCTGGCAGCACTGTAATAGGGCAGTAAAACACTTTTCTGTTGCGCTCTCGGGCGCTGCTTTTGGGGTAGATTGTGGGGTTTGTTGTTTTTTTGGGGGGGGGGTTGTCTTTTTAAAGATGGGGACACAAATTCTGCATTACTAGTTTCTGCCCGTAGCTGGGCTTTTTGCTCATTTCTGGTTTGTTTTTTAAGCATTAAGAGTACCGAGAGCCTTAACTGATTGTGAAAGTTTATAAACAGCAGATTACCCACGCGTCGGCTCTGGCGTTTGGCATTAACTGTGTGACTTCTTCCGTAGTCTGCAGAAGATATAGGGGAAGATGAAAACCCAATCAAAGACATCACGGATAAGATTATTGACCTCGTCAGTAAGCGCGACGGTAACAACACGCTAATTGCTGCAGTCGCGGAAGTCAGAGTACAGCGGCGACCGGTTAAAAACAAAACAGGTAAGCTTTTCCTTGTCTCCGAAAACTCGCGCGCTTGCCGTGACTGGAATGGCCTTTCAGAGCCGGTAAAGCTCTTCCCGCTTTTGAGAGTGGTAGCAAGTCTGAGACTCTCTGCCTCTCGGCCCTCTTAACTGGGAACAACAAGGAGGCTTTTTTACCGGGATCTTACTGCTTTAAAAAAGAAAGAAGAGTTTAAAAGTTCTGAAAACGCTCTAAAACAGTGGCCTAACCTGTTAAAAGGGCTGCTACTCCTCGGCCCTCTTCACGGAGAAATTAGGAGGAAGAAAGCTAGTGAAGTCACGCTTGCCCGGCTCTGAACGCTCCCATGTATTTGCCCGGCGATGCCGCTGCCCAAATGCGACGAATTAAACGCTAAGGTCAGACGCGCCCGTTGGGTGTCCACATAGCGCCAGGCGCGCACTGGCATCCTACCGACAGCCCCCCCAGCGGGGAGGGAAACGGCCGTGGTGGGTAGGGAGCCAGTTGCCCTCAGGAGGAGGGCAGGAGATGTTCCCTCCGAGCTGGGAGCCGCGGGAGGGCAGTGGTACTGAAGCCCGCGTTACCGTTGCCTGTGATGACTTGGCTCCGTGCACAGCAGGAAGGCGTTTCGAGTCCTAAACTCACTTTAAACACCCTGTATTCTAAAAGAGCCAGGCTTAGCATTGTGTTACTGTCCGGACCCCCGCAAAAACTAAGGCTTAAGAATGGAGACTCGTTTTCTTGGTAGAAAGCCTTGACTGACTGGAAGGCTCGGTTTGGAGCAGGGTTAACTGGTCTCGTCTCTCTTCCAGACTTCTTGGTGCCGTTGCTGAGCTCGGTCCTAACAGTGGCCTGGATCTGTTGCCTGGTAACTGTCTTTTACTGGTGCATTCGAAAGCGCCGCAAGCAGAGCAGCCATACTCACACGGCCTCTGACGACAACACCACCAACAACGTGAGGGAGCAGCTGAACCAGATAAAAAACCCCATTGAGAAACACGCGGCCAATACTGTCCCCATTAAAGACTACGAAAACAAAAACTCTAAAATCGCCAAAATAAGGACACACAATTCCGAGGTGGAGGAGGACGACATGGACAAGCACCAGCAGAAGGCCCGATTCGCCAAGCAGCCGGCGTACACTTTGGTAGACAGAGACGAAAAGCCCCCCAACAGCACACCTTCCAAACACCCGAACTGGACAAACAAACAAGACAACAGAGACTTGGAAAGCGCACAAAGCCTAAATCGAATGGAGTACATCGTATAGCAGACAGCGGGGTGCTGCCGTGCAGGGCCTTTCAATGTCACTGTAAAGGCACTCGAGAGCTTGTAGTTCTTAAACTGTTGTGTAATATTTGAGTCTGAGGCTATTATTTACTTAGAATCCCTGTGTTAATTTAAGTTTTGACAAGCTGGCTTACACTGGCAATGATAGTTGCTGTGGTTGGCTGGGATACCAAGTGCTGCATTTCACATCTATGCAAAACTAGTCAAAAGTGCCCTCGCGTCAAGTCAGCTCTAGCTGATACATCACGGAAACCTTTCG